TGTTCCTTTTGCACTTTGGTGCTTTTTATATTATCTCTATCGTTTCGAAAAAAAAAGAATAATTTATTAAACTATAAATAATTGAATAATTTATTTGCATAACTACTTATTTGATCTTTAAATTTAGAACCTAAATTTGGACTACACAAATAAACTTTTTTATGTATTTCATGTATAATATATATGTATAGGGTTGGGTTCACATGAGAATGGTTCTTAGTGAAAGAAATGAGAATAAATAGTAGCCATTAGATCAGATGATCTAATGGCTTAAAAAAAGCCAAAAATATACCTTCATTAAGGGTAATGTAGTAATTTTCTACCCATCACCAAAAAGGATGGGACCCAATACATATTTAATCACCTGCCAAATGCCAATTTTAATCTTTCGGTCAAACCCACCCCACCTCATACGGCATTCTCTTTCACACACTCACGCACACAATACACACACACCACACACACACAACGCACCGTCATACTCCCGTCGGAAAATCTCAATCCCCGTCGGCCGCCGTCCGCCGCCGGATCCGAGGACATCATCTCTCATGAACACATACTAACACGCACACCACACAGTACACACACTTCACGGCTCACACACACACACCCTCGCCGGTCCACGCCACCAGCCACCGCCGGCTCCGCCTCTTCCATCCTGCCACCGCCTTCCTCCACCTCGACACGCAAAAACACAGTACACAGACTTCAGGGCTCACACACAAACACACAGAGTAGAACACACAACTGTTTGTCCCTGCCATCCGCCGCCGGAAGTGGAACCGCCGCTGCACGGCCTGCACCGCCTTCCTCCACCTTGAATCACACGGCCTCTGCTCCTAATTGGGCATTTATTTGCACGATTGAGGTCATTTTCTTAGAAATTCGCCTGGAAAAGCCATCAATGCCATAGATCCGAATCGAGCGCGCGGCGCGCCCCGCCGGATTCATGGTCTACCCGATTAGCCTGCTCACCTCCCTCTCCATCTTCTTAGTATTAGCAACAGATTCCGACTGAGGGTGTATTTCGACTGGATACATGCTCATTCCGACTGACGAGGTGCGAGCCGGCGGAGGTGGGGCCATTGGCGGGGGTGATGACCAAGAAGAGGATGATTAGATGGTAAAGTCTGAAATTTTGGATCTAGGGCTATTTTTTGCAAATTAGACAAGTGTAAGGGACTTATATATAAATTAATAATTTTCAACTATATTGCAAGTTCATGAGTTAAATTTGTATATTGATAAAAGTTTATAGTTGTGCAATGATGCTCAATATAATGCACACTATCACGTTTGGATTTGCACATAATAAACACCCGTACTGTATAATGCACCATAGCGTTAAACATGATGCACATTATTGAATATTAGACTGCACAATAATATTAACTGAAATACAAATTATTGAAATATTTTAAAATCGAAATGCAAATAAAAAAATACCCTCTACATAAAGTCAATGGATAGATTGTCTAAAATATCCAATCTATAGGTAGTCAATTTTTACTTTTAAAATTATGGTTTCTCGTTCGATTTCGTTTTTATTTTTAAAACAACCGAAATAACCGAACCGTCAAAAATATATAAAAAAATATTATTTATTATATTATACATATATTATGTATCCCAGCGAAAATAATATAATATGTTAAAATATAAATATTACAATACTAAATATATTTTACTAATATAAATAGTAATTATTTTTTTATATTTTAGTTAATTCGATTTATAGACAGATTGCACATTAGTGATGAACGAATTGCATATTAGTGACTGACAGATTGCACCATAGCGAGCGAACTCGACAAACTACACTTTTTGGTCTGAAGTTTATATTTTTGGATGTCGATTGTCCATTTCATTTTTAAATAATTGATTATTTTGGTTCGATGTCAAATTTTTTTAAAAAAAAATAACTAAATTAATAGAAATATAAAAAAAATTATTTTGTTATTTATATATTGCAGGTTTTTACAATTAAAAGTAATATTGAATATTAGATAAAATAGTATGCTAATTAATATATTTTTATAATTTAAAAATATAAATTATTTGGTTATTTATGTTAATTCGGGTAACCGATCAAATAAATCGAGAATTTCGTTTGACTTCAGTTTTGGGTTGGGGCAATTCATAAAAAGTTTATACACTACGATTGCACAATTGTGTTAGATGAATTGCACATTAATGACTAGCATATTGCACTAAATCGGCCGAACTCGACCAAACTATGTGTTTGGGTCCAAACTTTATATTTTGGTTCGATTATCTGTTTTGGCTTTTAATATTTTGGCTATTTAAGTTCGATGTCAGTTTTATTTTTTAAAATAATCGTACTTATCGAACATTATAAAAATATGTTATTTTATTATTTGTTTGTTTTAGATCTTTACCATGAAAAGTAATACAAAAATATTAAATAAAATATTAAACTATTAAATGTATTTTATAATATAAATTCTAAATTATTTCGATAAAGCGATCAAATAAATTGATCTATTTCGTTCAATTTTAGTTTGACTTAGGCAAATCGTAAATAATTCATCCACTTCGTGTGCACAATTGTGTTATAAAAAATGCACATTAATGACTAACGAATTGCACTATTCTCGAAACCGATCGAAATTAAATTTTCGGTTCAAATTGTTGTATTTCGATTCGCTATTTTTTATTTTTTTAAAATATCGATTATTTCGGTTTGATTACGGATTTATTTTAAAA